TAAGGGGGGTCAAAAGTTAAATTGGAGTGTAGGGTGGGGGGGGGATTAGAAGCTAATTACTTAAGTATGGAGAGGGGGGGTCATAAGTCAATTTGGGATTTTGTTCACTAGTACGTTCCCCCTTTTACTGAAGAAGCAGGAGATTAATTATTATCAAGAGAATTCGAAAATGAACTAAGACAAGGAATCTTTGGTATTCATGCTCGTAACCATCACAGGCACCGCGTGATGCTATTTTTAGAAACACATTTGCCATAGTTTTATTTGCAAAAGCTGGATTGAATTTGTCTGTCTGTCCAAGAGTTATCCATGATGCTTTTCACATTCAATTTTCCCAGAATTCCTTACGCACCTTGAAGGTTTGATAACAAAAATACAATAACAGGCGCCAAAGGATAGGTATTTTACAGCATTTCTTCAAAATAATATATTATCATAAAGGAGAGTCATAATATAAGGATAACCCCTGGTATATCTTTCATACACGATGTGCCAATTTTTTTAAAAATTGAGCCAGTTTTCAGAATGCCGTCCGGCGACTCGAGGAAGGACTTTATTTTACAAACAACTRCAAATTATTTCGGTATTGCTGCCTCCGACGCCGCTCTAGAGAAGATATTTGACTCCAAGGAAATAAATGCCTTCTTAGACGATGGAAACAGCCCTGTTCTAGCTGCTAGATACGATACACATCAAGGAAAGAAGTCTATCGAAGTATTCAATCATGTTGAACCGAGTGATTCAGCCGAGAAAGTCCTCGTATTCTTCAAACTTCAACCAGAAGTCATAACACCAGACACAGTTCACCAGAATGTTTTCGTTTCTTCCATGCTTGACTCCCCAATTAATACTCTATACCACTCAGTCCAGAAGATTTTTGCACCTTTACTTTTGAAAGACGAAAAATGGAGTCAAAATTTTGACCCGAAGTTGCAGAGTTTGTTGAGTGAGCTCGAGGCAGGGTTGGGTAGTGTGGTCAGGAAACAGGATAAAAACGTGCCCAAATCTAGTCAAAGTGGTGACCAAGATAGCCTAGGAGGAATACTAACACCACAAGATGAGATTCAATACTGGGCTGATGCTTCTATATCGGGGTATGATTTGTCAGAACGAGAGCGAGCAGCGTTTTTTCAAGAATGTTTTCAGAAAGGCAAGTACAAGGTTCAAATTGTGTACATTGGTAGTCCATAGCAACGACTGAATAGAAATCAATTTATCACCATCAAATAACTATAAATTGTAAAAATATAGTTCTGAACTCTAGAAATTATAGAATGTGAAGTATTTTTTTTTTGTTGGGCAATATTTTCTGTTGTTGTCGTTCAACTCATTTTTCTCACTTTTCTTTTCTCTTTTTTTCTTCTCGTTTCAGGTAATGTTTCCCAGGACTTTTCCAATCTTAATGGACTGGACCTGGACGAGGTTTTGGAGCTTATAGAATCAACACAAGATGCATTGGATGAGATATGGAAGCAAGAAGACCACAAACCTTWTCCAGAATCCAGAATGAAGCATTTACTGGAGGTTATTGCTGGTGCATTGGGTCGCTAYGTTCAACACAAACTTGGCACCCTTGATATTTGGCAGGGCTCTTTCCAGCATGTCAAGGATGCTATGAAAAAAGGTGTATCTGTAGGGGAGAGGTGGGTTTCTACTTGTGAGACACTGACAGYGCAGTACTGGAAGCGATTCCCTTCTCACCCATGGAGAGATGAAAAGTTTGTGCCAGAACGCCTTTCCTTATTGGCAGTGAGACTTGAAGAGGTATAGGAACTTGAAATTAAAAAATGTTGCTGTTTGATAAGTATATTTTWAAATGTTTTTTTAGGATGCCCTCGATCTGCCCTAAAATGTTTTATTATATACCAAGTGCCAAAGCTCAATTTTCCTCAATTTCTATTGGTCGAGAGTGTATCACATGAATGCGAATAAATTCGACTGTTTCCCCATGAGTTGTCTGAGAGGGAATAATGCATTGTTAACGGGGAAATATCAAAACCGGAAGTCATGTGACCATGAAAAACATCACCTCATGCGTGTGTTTGCAAAAATTCATTCATAAGTAAAAAAGTAGTTTTATGGAAGATGGCTCGCTTTGCTGACCRTGGAGAGCTGGAAATTCAACAACTACTTACAGAAAAAGACTCTGCATCCACCAAAAATGAGACAAATGTTTCGTTCTCTTTGACACTTGATATAATAATAAAGCACTTATTGACTGGGACCTCGGCAAAAGCAGTATGTTTTGTGGACCCTCGACCAGCGATCCGCTGAGGGAAACATCCACGGTTTCAGGTCCACGAAACATACTCGCGAAACATACTGTTTCCCTCAGTCCCAGTATATAAGTGTTAAATATTTTGTGTATGCAGGATGCATACAACTTTCTTATTTTTCATAACATACTCACTACATTTCTCCCCAGGTTCTGACATTGAGGACTGTCCATGAGCAACTAGTACGCTTACTATCCCAGGCTGAAAGGCAACAACTTCGCACATCTGATGCTTTCAAGCCATTTACTGGACTTAACCCCCTGCATCAGAACCCTTATACTGAACCATTATGGAGGGCAGCAGTAGGGCAGTATGAGAGAGGCATGGGACCTGCTGAACAGAAAATTGCTGGTAAACTAAGACAACAATTCCGAGACTTATCGGCACAATCTCATCAGGTAATTCTCACCAAAAGTTTTAAGTCTAACCAGAACCACATGTGTTGTATTACATAATTTGACTAAGTTTAAATTTTCTCAAATCAAAAATCAACTTCTAAATTCCAATTGGAATTCAGTAGAAGAAAAGTCACTGTGTGGAACACAGTTCAATTTCCATTTATGTTTTTGTATTTTATTTATTTATTTTCTGTTATGTTGTATCTTGAGTGAGAAAGAAATCAAACTAATATTAATATTGCCATTTCTTCTTCCAGTTGTTAAGAGAGTTTCAGAGGTACAAAGAATTGGTGAAGAGGCCAAGCATAAGCAAAGAATTAGCCCCAGAAAGGTAACATTTATTTTGTTTAAAATACCAATGCATGGGACATGTAAGTTCAGTTGAGCATAATTTCTTTTTTTATAAGAGGTATGTAGTGGGCTCAATTCACGTAAGGCCTGGGGATAACTGGAGAGAGATGGCCAATGGCATTGTATTTATATATCATATTCTGGTATATTAGAACTTCACGTGTTTTAGATAACCAAATAAAAACCATTGATTCTCCCTTGCATCAAATGAATATGAATTCTTTTGATTGGTAAGTTATTTCTGACAGGGGTTTTTATTTAATTTACCTCCTGTGATTTCTCTTGTTATCCCTTTACTGTCAAATCTGACCCCAAAACACTAATTATAGGTATAGTACATGTACCTTCATACCTATCCATTTATTACACAGGGAAACATTACTTGGCCAGCTGACAGTATATGTTAAAGGAATCAGAGATGATTATGTGTCTAAAACACAGCAGTCATATTCTGGTAGCAAGGAAGGTGGTCCACCAAAAGGGAAGAACATGCCTGAGATTGTCAACAATATTGTGTGGGTTAGACAGTTAGAAGCTAAGGTAAATTATGTATTTTGATTTTAAAATTATGATAAAATTATGAATGAATGATTGGTGGATGGATGGATGGATGGATTGATAGTTTAATGGAGGGATTGATGGATGGAAACAGGAGCAGATGAATAGATATATGAATGGGCTGATAGATGAATGCAGAGATGGATGGTAAGGGGCAGATAAATGGATGGATGGGTAGGGGAGTGGATGAGTAATTGTGTGACCAACATTATTATTCACTGAAAATGTTAATAACAGGTATTAATAAGAATTTTGGCGCATTTTCAGGTAAAGGACACTCTTAGCACTGCAGAAAACTTGCTGGGTGATCTGTCTGGTTTTCGTGGGTTTAGAAGAGAAGCTGTTGATCTTCTAGAAGAACTGGAAACATACACTAGAGACCAGTTTGAGAGCTGGTCATCTGAGATGTTATCACTCATAGATGACCCAAAAGAACCTCTCAGGTACTGTACAATGTTACTTTCAGCACTGAAATCCATTCAATTACTGGTATACAAATTGTTTTCCTTTAAATTGACAGTAAGTTATTGCCTGTAGATTATAAATTACAGTGTAATTTCTATTTTATGAATTCTGTTCTGATTAGTTTGCAAACAAGTGGTCGTCTCATGGAGTTGGGTCACAAAGATGGTAAACTGAGGGTTCATTATGGTGATAGACTAGTTACCCTAATGCGTGAAGTTAGACAGCTCAGTGCTTTGGGTTTTGTAGTTCCGGCTAAGATTCAACACACCTCTAACATTGCCAGCAAGTTCTACAGACATGGGATGGTTTTGAAACAGGTACATTAATGTTGTCTCCAGGTTACAGTAGGTTTGTAAGATGATGCTTAATGCACACAAAACCTTTGAGATGAAAAACTTGATYACTACGCAGAAATCTTGCCCTTTAAAGCAAAGTAGGACAGAAAATATATTTTCACAATTTCAATGTATCCCAAAATATGCTTGGCATTTATTGTGAAGGGCTCCTTAAATATTGACTAACACCTACTGCACGATGCTGAGACCAAAATATGCAAAATATGATTTGTTACAATAAATTTTCCCATTAGGTTGCACATTTTTACAACACTATTGACCAGCAGATGATTCCAAGCCAACAGTCCATGATGTTAGATTCTGCTCTGGCATTTGAAAAGCTCATCAAGAACCCTAAACAAGGCTCAAAAGATTCCTCAGGGAAGGTTCAGGTCACTTGGGACAACCCCTCTGAGTTAGAGGCCTATATTGACAAACTCCAAGCTGCGGCAGACCGCTTGACATCAGAAAACAGAAGGCTAAGAAAATGTCATTACAATATAAGTGATAAGGTATAGGAAAGATTTGCCTTGATACTGCAATATTTATCTGAGAAATATTCCATTCCTTCTATTCTATTCCATTCTATTTCATCCTATTTGTTCAGTACCACTGACAATCTAATTTATCAGTGGAGTACATGTACATACATGGGAACCTACTTTATTGACATTATTTTGTTGCTGATTTGCTTGTTACGACTTTTGTCTCAATCAGTGCATATTAATGAAAACAGTGATAAATTTCAAATATTTTTAAAATGCCCCAAAAAATGCTTTATACAAATATCAAAATTTTCAGTTTTTATACTGAACCTTGGAACAGCTAATAATGAGAAGTGATGAAGGAAGGAACTGAGAAGAAATCTGAGTTCAAGATGGAATTTGAACATTATGATATGGTTTTTTTATTTATACATTAGAATTGTCATTATTATGTATTTTATCTATATTAGGTAGTGCAGTTGATGAGTATTGACCTGTTAAGGCAACAGCCACGCTGGAAGGAATACCTGGTTGAGTTCCGTGATATTATGGCATCTCTTGTGCAACATGGATTTAAGGCAGGCAACATGATGACATGGAAGATACATTGGGATCGACAGCTGTACAAAGCATTGGAACATCAGTATCAAATGGGATTAGAAGCACTGAATGAAAATCTTCCAGAAATAAAAGTAGAACTTGTATTTAGGTAATATACTAAAGAAATAGAAAATTTGCGCGCGTGCTGTGTGCAGTTATAAAGCACGCGGGGGTTTGCAGAATACAGGAGAAGTGTTAGGAGAAGCACAACGCGTATTGGAGTGCTTCTCGACACTTCTCGAGTGTTGTGCCAATCCCCAAGTGCTTTATAACTCCACACAGTACAGCAAGCAAGTTTTTTATTTCTTTTACAAAATACAAATAAATGAATGACCAAACTGAAAGTGCGCGGTGTGCTGTGTACTCTCATAAAGTACGCGCTCCCAACCAATCAGAATGCGAGATTTAGAGCAGTTATTTTATAAATATATATATATATCTTTATAAGTTGTGTAACACTTTGTAATGATTTTAGGATCATATTGATCATTTTGAACACGATCTTTCCAAAGGCCATAATGCTGCTTAAGTTCTGCCCTAGAGTATCATTTCTTTGTTTCATGGTTGCACATGAGAAGACACGTGAATATGGATGCAACTCAAACAAAGAACCTTATTTTCAAGAACACGAGTCTGAAATGGGAAAAAAATTAAATTCAAGCTTAATTGGTCTATTCTTATACATTTACAATATTTATTTTTTGTCCACAGACAACAAAAGCTTCAGTTCCGTCCCCCACTAGAAGAGATTCGTGCCAAGTACTACCGTGAAATGCGTAAATTCATCTCGACCCCCCATCACTTCCGTGGTGTTGGCGAAGACACATCAGTCTTTCCCTTGATGATCAATCACAATGCTTCTGGCTTCAACACGGTCTACTCTAAAGCTGAAGATCTCTTCCAAAGACTAGTAGCAGTACAAGACCAATTTCAAGATTGGGTGGTGCTTGGTACAATAGACTTGGAACAGCTGGTTGAAAAGAATCTACACGTTGTACCTGACTGGGAGAGGAACTTTAGAGCTTTGAAGGCCAGGGGCAGAGAAGCAGAAAAACTACCAATGTATGTTCTTAAAGTAGATGTTGTAAACCTTTTGCCGCAGTAATGAGTGAAAAAGGAAGAATATGGTGATGACACGTACCGTGGGATGCTATAGTTCCCTGCACTATTTACAACCTTTCTTTTTTAAAATACCTTTTTTAACTAAATTCTCGGCACCCTTACTTTTAATCTTATTTATACTAGTTTACTCTATTTCCCAATCTAAGTCCATCCCCGTCCCTCCCTCTCCCCAATCATACTTTAAGAGTGCTCTGTTGGTGGTCCTTGGTAGTGATGATGATGATGATGATGATGATGTTAACATTTCTTAGTATGAAGATGGTGATAATGCAGTAGATAATGATGATATCAATGATGGTGTAGATATAATGCTTTTAATAATAGTGACAGGGCTACTGTGTTCAATCCACAGTCCAAGGTAAATGGTCGGTAAATGGTCAGTAAATGGTCGGTAAATGGTCGGTAAATGGTCGGTAAATGGTCGGTAAATGGTCGGTAAATGGTTGGTAAATTGCCGACTGTCCGTTCCCGTTCGTGCTGGTTTTTACCGTACGTTGCGGGTTGATCACAATACCCTAGTGACAGTGATTATATTAAAGCATAACATTCCATTTTTAGGACAGTGAAGGTGGATTGCATTACTGTGTCTACATCACCGGTCAAGTCAACCATTGATGATCACATTCAGCAGTTATTTGACGCACTACTCAACTCACTGCGTCGCTCTATCATCAATGATGTTCAAACCATCGACACGTTCCTTACATCTGGTATGGAATCCCTGTCCACAAGGCCACAGACTGTGGAAGAGATCGGTGAAGCTAATCTGAAACATTCTGAATTGTCGCAGCAGAAACCCCAGGTAGGTGCTTGCAATCTGCAGTGATTATTTACAGGTGAGAGGTGTGTGAACTACTTCTATGATATATTTCATCCATGTATCTTACCAAATCACAATCCTCCAGTGAAGCATGTTTTTTTGTTGAATGCCACAGATTCAACCTCTGTTTGAGAAAGTAGAATCCAAGCACAAGTTACTTAGGTCTGTGGCTGGTGGAGGCGTGGAGCAAATAGGCCCACTACAGGCAAGATGGGACAAGTTTGAGTTGATGATGGAGAGCCATGAACTAATGGTCAAGGAGCAGGTTTGTACATATTTCTATAGTGAGCTAGACTCTTCGTTTCTTTGAAACACTTTCAATCAGCAGTTTAGTTGTCATGTGCTTGTGTGTGTGGCTTTTATTTGGGGTGGGGGGTGGGGGAGGAGATTTGTTGAAGTTAGTGATACAACCTCTGTTGTGAAATCTCAGATACCGTACTGCGTAGTATCTCACTTTCTGGTGATGATGTTGTGGGATGTTGATCACAGTTGTGCTTTTACATTTGTACATGTGTTCCATAATCAATTAATGATATCCTTACTTCACCTTATCAAAGACCAGTACTTACTTACATTTCTTACTTGTTCCAACTAGGTTGAAGTGATGAAGAGCAACGTAGAGTCCCGAGTGCAGGCCTTCCAGCAGGAACTAGAAAAGTTCAGTGCCAGGTGGCATCAACTAAAACCAAAAGACATGGATATCGATAGTGATGCACATGCATGTAAGGCTGCAGTCAGCTCTGTTAAAGACAGAAAATCTGAGTTTGTTGAATTAGAGGAGACAATGAACAAACTGATGTAAGTATGGATACTGGCTCTTGGTCATTATTCAGTTATCCTTACTAGTGATTGATGTATATCCATCCACAGTTTCGACTGCAGTCATTTTGGTGTCCCTGAGCCCAGTTTTCCAGTAGCAGAAGAGTTAAAGCAGGATATTGCTGTGAATGAGGCAATGTGGCAGATATATGAAGATTTCAGTAACGGCCTTGAAGAACTTGCTAAGGAGGACTGGATTTCATTTAGGTAGGTCAAACAGCAATTTTAGTAATACTGTGGAACAACCACTGGGCTGATCAAGGTTACGGCTGTGCCAATTCACTGATCAAAAATGAATTTAACATGCTGGGTTTTGCCCGAGGAAGGAAAATAAGAACGCAGGGAAAAGCCCTCGAATCCAGAGAGAGGCTTAATAACTCTGGTCACATGTGGTAGCAAGTCCAGCAATCCTATCCTAGACCCCTGAGGTGAAAGGCGAGTTTACTAACGCTTTCATTTTATTATAGGTCCCGTGCCTTCCAGTTTGACGAATTCCTAACAGTTTGGTCTGAAACACTACGAACGAAAGAACCTACAGTAATGACAGTACGCTTGCAGAAAGATGTGGAAAAGTACAAGGTATAGATATAAGTATCTAAAAAAATACAACGGGCTTAGTGATTGAGAAATATTTTGAGAAAAAAAAAAAGATTTAAATAAGTGGGAAAGTGGATGTATGAGATCGAGCAGGAATAATTAAAAATAATGAATATTTATTTTTCTTTATTAGAACGTGGTTCCACTTTTAAAGTATGTTCGTGGCGAAGCACTATCCCAGGATCATTGGTTGGAACTCTTCAGGCTTCTCAAGATGCCAAAAGGTACCACCCTAGAGAAGTTGACGTTTGGAAATGTGCTGGAGGCCGCTGACCTTATTGTGACGCATGCTGAAGCACTCAAGGTATTTGTTTGACCTTTGACCTTTTATTCTCAATGTGACCTCCCCTCACATCGCTGTCTTACTCAAGTTACTTTCAATCAGAGGGCAAGGTGCTCTCGCTTTAGGAGTATTGTTTTATAATAATGATTTTATAATGTTCTTGTCAATCTTAGGAGTTAAATAGCCGTGCTCAAGGTGAAGTGTCGATCCGTGAGGCGTTACGTGAGCTAGAGTTATGGGGAGCTGGGGCTGTCTTTGCTTTGACGTCCTACGTTGATTCATCAGAGAAAGAACTCTCTATTATCAAGGATTGGAAGGACTTAGTTAACCAAGTAAGTCTAGAAGGGATTCCCTCTTTTTAAAACAGCTTGTTATGCCGTTTGATCTCTATGACTAATGCATTTCCCCTTCCTTGGTAAGTAAAAAAAGAGAAAGAAAAACGGAAGGAAGGAAGGAAGGAAGGATGAAAGAAAGAAAGAAAGAAAATAACAGAAAATCGTGGCGAAAAGGGGCCCATACGCCACTATCTATGCTACTTGCCTTCCCTAATAATAAGTAAATAAAACTTTTGGCATTGTTTATTTGATCCCAAGGTGGGTGACAATCAGTGTCTGCTACAGTCCCTCAAAGACTCACCCTACTACAAAGGATTCGAAGACAAGGCGTCCATCTGGGAGACCCGTTTGGCAGATCTTGATGAATATCTGCACAACCTCAATCAGATACAGAGGAAATGGGTGTACTTGGAACCTATATTTGGGCGAGGCGCTCTACCTCGCGAACAGGGACGATTCCAGAGGGTGAATGACGATTTCAGGTAATACTGGCTAGTAATGTTGCGTTTATTCCTTAGAATATACGAGGCTTGAGTCTTTTTCTACTTATTTATTACACACGACGATCTTTTTCGATGAAGGGTGGGTAAGGTGTTGCAGAGTTTTTTATTTGGCAATAGTGAGTTTCTTTATACTGGAACGCCCTTTCTTTAATTTCCATAATTATGCGACACACCCAACTGGAGGTAGTCTTGGACTATAGCCAGTTGTTTGGATGGTGTAGATTTTGATACGGATGTAGTTGCAAGGTTTCAACATTTACATCACTACCGCCACTTCAACGGTCATAAATATTTCTTCTGGATACATTGTTCTCGTAGGTCAATAATGGCAGACATCGTCAATGACAACCGTGTTGTATCATTGGTTGGTCGTTCAGGCATCAGGAACGTCCTGGTTACTTTGCTAGATCAGTTACAGCGTTGTCAAAAATCACTCAATGAGTTCTTGGAGGTATTACAATAGTTCCTTTCAATACTAATTAGCTGTTGATAGGACTTTTGAAGCGGGCTTTAATCTTATTGTCGTAGTGCTTAGTAAGTTAAAAATAACGAATAAATAAAATGAATAGAAGGAAAGAAAGAAAGGATGGATGGAAGAAAGAAAGAAAGAGAAATGAGATGAAAAAGAAAGGGAAACAAAATGAAAGAAAAGAATGAATGAATAAATAAAAATCAAAAACTAGACACCAGCATTTTTTGAAGAGGAAATTAAGACTATTATCGTGGCATTTCTAATCGCCTTTTACTCACACACGTTATGATAGGAAAAAAGATCCATGTTTCCACGGTTCTATTTCATTGGTGATGATGATTTACTAGAAATCCTCGGCCAGGCCACCAACCCAACAGTCATCCAGTCTCACCTCAAGAAGTTGTTTGCTGGTATACATAATGTAACCTTTGATGAAGGCAACAAGGTCATCATAGCTATGATGTCTATTGAAGGTGAACTTGTACCTTTGAAGAGGCCTGTTACTATCACTCCTGAAGTAGAGGTATGTTAAAGCATACTGAGACTTTTGACCCTTTGGACCAAAAAAAAGTTTTATTTAAAACTTTAATTTCGGTCAGGATGCACTCCATCGTCAAGGGACCGAAGTTATGTAATATTATTAGAAGAGATACCAATTGAATTTCCTGACCCCTCCCCCCATAATATGCCATAACAAATAAGATATTACTAAAGACAATGTTAACAAAGGTGTGATCCCTTGTCGCTTTGAATATAATATAAGCATGATTTTTGTATTGCTTCGTAGGTGTGGCTAGATCTCTTGGCAAAGGAGATGAAAGACACGCTAAGCGAATTGCTTGAGGAATGTCTTCAGATTGGTAAGAAAGGAGGTAGTGCTGGAGTCAATCCTGCCGACTTCCCTTCACAGGTATGCACACCTTAAAACACCTTATAAATCTCACGTTCTGATTGGTTGTACGTGCATGCTTTATGAAAGCACACAGCACGCCTTCGCGTTTTCTATTTCTTTATTGATAAACAGCTAAATATTTTACTTTGCGCACTCAGATTCTATGCCTGGCCGAACAGATCCAGTTCACAGAACGATGTGAAGCAGCAATCAAAAGCAACAGCCTCCAAGAGTTCCAGATCGAAATGGAATCTCAACTGGAGTCATACACGAGTGCAGAGATTGGATCGGGTGACGCAGGGGACACTAAGGCTCATGTCTTAGAGCTAAAGCTAAAGGCGCTGATATTAGACGCTATACATGCTATTGATGTAGTGCAACAGCTGATCAAGAGCTCGGTCAAGACACTGGATGACTGGGTGTGGCAGAAACAACTACGATTTTACATGCATAAACGTAAGAAAGTCCTCATCAGAAATATGGGCCTCATATAAAATGAACGTTACGTAATGTTAATGTCGTGAGTTTACTCTCACATTTCTAAGCCGGGCTCGATGTGGTATAATAAAATCAAACTAACTTGACTATCGTACCCTACCCCTTACCTCCCCTCCCCTAATTTGATATTTGTATTGTTYTCTTCAGGATCATGCCTCATTCGTATGTGTGATGCTGAGTTTCACTACACTTACGAGTACCAGGGCAACGCACCTAAGCTAGTGCACACCCCCCTGACTGATAAGTGTTACCTTACTCTTACACAAGGAATGCACATGGGTCTGGGGGGGAACCCTTATGGTCCTGCAGGTACTGGTAAAACAGAATCAGTTAAAGCTCTTGGAGGTCTGTTTGGGAGACAGGTTCTTGTGTTTAACTGCGACGAGGTATGTTTGTATGGTTATCGTATAAACAGTTAGAAATTTGTCATGCTTTCTTTTCTCTTTGAAATCGGTTCATTTCCCCTTTTATTTCCATTGCATTCAATTTTGTTCTCTTTTTCAAAGGTTCCCACCGCCCCAGTACCAAGACTACCTGAGGTTCCCCTCTCCTCGGCAGAACACGAACACAGAACACCATCCATGTAAAGAGAGTTCATTTTTAACATTTTCATCTCCTAATTGTTCTATTAATTCCACCAGGGTATTGATGTCAAATCTATGGGTCGTATATTCATCGGCTTGGTCAAGTGTGGTGCCTGGGGCTGCTTCGATGAGTTCAATCGTCTAGAGGAAGCAGTCCTGTCAGCCGTCTCTATGCAGATACAAACCATTCAAGCTGCACTTAAATCCAAACTCGAAAGTACTGAGCTTCTAGGAASAACGGTAAGTCTTGATAGATCAACCCTGATGTAAAAATCACCAGGCCAAAAGAGTCCTTGTTCAAGGATTGTGTGAGATATCTTATCCTGTACGCACGCTATATTGAAAACTGATAAAATTGCTTTTATTTGACATATGAGCTGTTTTCATGCATACGGTACTGACTTACAGCACGTACACCGTAAAGCACGCTTAGTTACGGAAACGGTACGGCTCGTTTCCCACGCCTGCATACGAAAACCGCTCTATCACGTGTGAGTGCTGATGCCTTTCAATAGTTCTTCATTTCTTTGCCTATCTGCAGGTTGACATCGACTTCAATTCTGGTATCTTTATCACCCTCAACCCGGCAGGAAAGGGTTATGGTGGCCGTCAAAAGCTGCCCGATAATTTAAAGCAGTTGTTTCGACCCGTTGCCATGTCTCGTCCTGATAATGAGCTCATCGCTGAAGTCATTATGTTCTCTGAGGGATTTAAAGAAGCCAAGAGTCTTGGTAGAAAACTAGTGGCAATTTTCAACTTGTCAAAGTATGTCTATTGAAATTCCTTATATTGTCTTTTGCCTGGGTATTTGGGAAATAGGAAGGCGAGAGGACCGACCCGGGTCAAAACCGAATGGTTGAAAATAGCGAATAACACGGGTCAAAATCGAATGGTTGAAAATAGCGAATAACACGGGTCAAAACCGAATGGTTGAA